GAAAACGAGGATGACAAGAACCAACCTTTCAAGTCGCCGGTGAGACGTCGGTGGAAGGAGAATCGACGATGAGATCCTTTCTTGGAAGGAGAGTCGGTGGAAGTCCGTGGAAGGATTTGGCTGTGAGGAATTTTTCTTTTGACAAAGTGAGGGTATTTTTGGCTTTTTCCAAGTTAACCTATATTTTGACCTTTTTTTTTTAATTCTATTTCCTAGTCAAATGTCACTTTGGAAATACACTACAACGTAAAGGTCATTTTCATGTATTTCCTCTTAATTAGTCCGATATGTTCATGTGCTATTAATTTAATAATATTATGTATTTGTGTTTTAATGATAAATGTCTCCCTTTCCTACGCCTGTACGCTTTACGTCTCCTCTAGGGATTGTAAAAACTTTGTTACAATAGATACCTGGGACATGGGACCCAGCCTGGCTTAACAGGGTATGAGGGCAAGATAACAAAAAACACCCCAACGTGACGGGGACAAAAATGGTCGATCCACCGGTTACCAACCCTGGATTCCTCCATCCCCCTTTGTTAGACTTGAACTTAATTTTTGGTGTTGTAATATTGTTTCAAACTGTTTGCTTTAAAAGATTACTAATATGTGTCATTTTGTTCATTATTAGTTGTAATTATCACTCGTCTAGATATTGAATGTGTGTATGCAATACAATCAAAGTATTCTTAGCCCACGGGCCAAAAGGAACCTAATTATAGGCGTGAAATAGGGCTTGGACTCTTACAATTATAATTCATCCAAGTTAGATCTTTTGATCATCATAATAATCATATTGATGCAGAAGATTCAAAGACAAAGGCAATTGCAAAGCATACTCAATCAGAATTACTATGATCTAAACTCTTATCTCATCATATCAACCTTACTTCAAAAGTTTTAAAAAAAATAAGAAATTATTTAGAGATTTAGAGAGATCATACTGATTTATTTCAACCTCTCAATGATTTTACAAGCAGGATGGAGCCATCTAGGGGAGGAAATATCATCTTAAGCCACAATGATTTACATAATTGTAATCATCACCAGTTTAGAAAGTGTATATAGTAATTAAGCTAATGATGAATAGCTTTTGTTTGACTCTAAAAAATTTATTTTGGATTACGGCCTTGTTTTGGGAGAGATTTTTCAAAAATCTTCTTCAATTAAACAAGATACGACTTTACCTTAGAGATTATTTTAAAAATCTGAATTTTATAGGGAAAATATTGCCTTTCCGTTGTTTGTGATCAAATAACAGCAATTCTTGAAATTCCCCTGAGCAAAAATTGATTTCCTAATTTTGCTTAAACCACGTGGAATTTCTAATATTACCTTCAACAAGAACAAGGTTCCCAATATTCATTTTTGTTGGCAAATAATTATATCACCGTGAATTGATTTGGGTAGAATAACGTCGTGCAAAAATAAACGATATAAAATGTTAATGGTCGAGCCAAGAGTTCGACCCCGCACTAGTACGACGGTATTCTGGCACCCGTCTCTCAAAATTCAACGACCTTGACTTGTAATAGTAGCACTCCAAATAACAATACCCGGCGAACATACTCACATTTTGATCTCTCGAAAAATTGAGGACTAAAATGCATGAAAATAATTTTAGAGGTGAATTGCAAAATATGAATAATGTAGGGACGAAAGAATAATTTTAGAAAAATAATAAAATTAGAATTGATTTTTTGGAATAAATGAAAACCGAGGTAAGGGGACCTATTTATAGAAGTTGAAAGGTTGTATCCAAAAGACACAATAGTCGAAAAGTCGTGTCTTCAAAATACACGAACCGTTTGAACAGACAGTTTAACTGTCAACCGCCATCTTCTAGAAGAATTCACGTGTCACGCACAGAAAAATCGGGTAAAAAGAATATAAGTGAAATATATTATTATTTTAAATAATAATAAAATAATATAAATCAAATATTATTTTACCAAAAAATATATATCAACTTCACTCAAATCCAAGTCAAGCCCACGACCAGTGACCGTGCCGTGCCTTGCCGAGCCGGCCGATCAGGCGGTGACAGTGGCGCGCACGTGTGGGCTTTGCCCCAACCTACTAGCATGTAGGTTATCTCCCCTTCGAAAACTATTAATACCCTTTGGGCCCAAACTCAAGTCTCAAACTTGAGCAATATAAAGAAATTTATACACTTCTAGCTTTCATATGTGGGTTTGGCATTTTTCCAATTTCCTACAAATTTTTATGGGAATATTAGGCCCAGTACCCATTTTTTATAGGTGTTTTGATTAATACCCTTAAACTCTAATTAAACATTTTAATGAAGTGTCAATTATGTTCAATTGTTAAAACCAAAGTCCAAACCACATTTTCTCCCTCAGAAACGTATCCGGCACCAAATTGTATCATCCCCCAAATCATTTTTCAACATCTTCCCGTTTTTCTCCCAAATTCGGTGGGCTTTGAAGATTAATTATATTACAACATCATTCATCCATGAATTCACACTTTCATCCATAAAAATTTCAAGAAATCAAAGATAAATTAGCTCAACTTTATGGATTTCAAAATTTTTCTTCTTTGTCTTAAATTATTGCTCATGGTTGGAATTTTTTGAGTTTTGTTGGGAGTATGGGCGTAGTTGATGTTGGTTTTGTAGATTGGTTGTGGAATATTTGGATTTAGCATAGAATCATGAAATTTTTTTACTCATTTCAAATACTGTGCATATTATAACGACCCGACTTTGCGCCGCAACCGTTATTATATCGTACGTACCGTTCGCTTTGAGAGAGTCTAGGCCCATCTTACCCCTCACGGATTTCTGACGCGTCCCCCAAGATTCGAATACAAGACCTCCATTATATGGGAGATTTAAATTGAATCCTGGTACCAATTGAGCAACTAACGGCTNAGGAATAGACATCTCGTGAAGCCAGGAATAAGCATCTGGTGAAGCGGGCAATAAACATCCAGCTAATAAATCTCGAACTATCAGAGTCTTATAAACTGGCCTCGGAATGACGAGGTCTTACAGTTAGGCTCGACGATAGTGAGGGGCGAGAAATAAGCATCTCGCGAATCCAAGGAAGACACCTTTTGCAGGGGAAAACATATCCGACGATTCAAATCTTCCTTTTTCAAGGAACGAGGACTTCGGGGTTATCGCCCCTTCCTTTGTTCAAGGAAGGAGGTCTTATATTCTCACATCTTCCTTTATTCAAAGAATGAGGACCACTGCTTCCTTTATTCAATGAACGCGGACTCCAAGATATCGCCTCTTCCTTTATCCAAGGAATGATGACTCTAATAGATCACCTCTTCCTTTATTCAAGGAATGAGGTCTCCAACCAGGTATGAGCATCTGGCATTGTGGAGAATAGACATCTCGCATATACATCTCGAACTATCGGAGTCTTATAAACTGGCATCGGAGTGACGATGTCTTACAACTAGGCTCGGCGATAACAAGAGACGAGAAATAAGCATCTCGCGAAGCCAGGGATAAACATACTTAAAAATTCTTGGCCATCCACATGCAAAATTACATCAGGAGATACATGAGGTGGTAGTAGACCTGCTGCTTGGGGGAGAAAGCCAAACCTTGGCTGGACATATCACACTTCCAACGGCATTCTTCTTGGAGGATATTTTCAGTACACATGGACCCGCATTAAGTTTGCCAGTACGAAGCTTTGGTCCAGCTAAGTCCATGAGCACCCGACATGGCTTCTCAAGAATTTGAGAACTTTTCTTCACCCTTCTTATTCTCTCATTCCAAACATCAGGATTACCATGTGCACAGTTGATGCGAAAATGGTGGCCCCCTGCTTCAGTGAGTATCATTGTCACTACCTCTTGGCCAACTCTTACCATGATATGAGTGCCTCTCTGCCCTTGAAGTGTACCATGTAGTAGATTCCTATTAGATGATGCTATTTTCATCATTGCAGTTATTGCCAAGTCCCCCTTTGTTCGATTTTGTGAGCTTCTGAAAATGGAAAACACTTCACCAGAACTTTTATAGCCATGGTGGGAATCTTCTGACTTTGAGTTATTCAGCATTTGGATACATGCAGAAAGACAAGTAATTTTCGTGACACATTTGGAGTCTTGAACATGCAACTGAACAGCCTTCAGCTTATCAAGGAGTCTCTCTTGGTTTCCCTAGATAAATGTTTGCTGGAAATCAGTGTCCGATTGCAATTGGAGGGGGTAAAACTTGGGACTTGAGAATTCTCCTCGTCCAGAGGATAAATAACCACTGAATCATCAGCAAAATGATGTGACACAATGTCACTTTTTTTTTTTATAAAAATTGTCGCTTTTTTAAAACAAGTGACAAAATTCAAAAAAAGTGACAAGTACTAAAATAGTACAATCCATTTGTGCAACACCAATAATCATATTTTTAAAATAATCACTACATTCAGACTAATTCACATGATGATTACGTAAAAAAAGTGACAATGAAAATGTGATCCACTGTCACTTTAAAGTTAAGTGTCACTTTTTTATTAAAAATGACATACAATGTCACTTTTACTAAAAATTGTCGTTTGTCACTAAAAAAGTGATAGAAATGAAGCAAGTGATTGAAAAAGTGACAAAGATTAAAAAAAGTGACAAACATTGACAAAGATTAAAAAAGTGGCAAAAATTAAAAAAAGTGACAGAAAGTCACCTATTGCATTCATTTCAAATATGACAAACAGAGAAGTATCTCAGATCAACCCAATTTCAAATCCATACATCCAGTAAAACAAATACAGTTTGGAATAGTCAAAGAAAGTGTTTCTGCATATGCTTATTTAGTTGAGATCAGAGGAAAATAGTAGCAATTTTAGGATTTAAGAGATGCGCCTACTTTGACAAGCTCGTCTCATCCACCACCTCGACCCATCTTCCGCCGTTGTTTCTATCGGACTACCTATCCTTGCTGGCTTTACTATTTGACAATGTAATTGCATTCCAACAGACAAATCGTATGTAGGTACACTAGCCCCCAGTAATCCTNATAGTTTGCCATAATTTTGGTGCTAATCCCAAATTTAACGACAAATTTTTAAGCATTTATATACAAACTCATCAGCTTATACTAAAATTGATTGATTACGTGAGCATCAGAGCTAAATTACTTGATTTTCGTGCTGGAATTTACATGGATAGCAATAAACAGTGATAAAGGAAGTAAACGTTTGGGCAAAACATGGAAACAGCATTTTGGGTTACAAAAGAGACCAAATCACATGAAACAAATGAAACGTTGCTTTCTATTCTATTGCAACCCGTTCCTACAATACTCTCTCCACTCCCAATTGAACTCCATCGATTTTAGCAGCCATGAATTGGTCGTACTCAGGGGTCGGGAGATTTTGGAGATTTTATAATGTATTAATTACGTTTTTAAATAATTTAGTTAGTTAATAGAGTATTAATCAAATTAGTTAATTTTTTAGGATATTTGGCCTAATTTTCCCTTCCTCAAATATATTGATTCTCATATCAATAACCAGCACATGAAAGTAGCATAAAGTAGATATTAACCTGCAAAAGCTACTCCATCTGCCGGCAAAAGGTCCACAAAACGGGCTGATTTGAACCACATATCTTAACCTGAACGCTCAACCATCACTTTCGTGTCTATCAACATTTAATGCTCTTTGCGGGAAAAAATCGGACCAAGCTGTTTTACCCGCGGTATATTGCAAGGTGACGTACCGGAGGTTGATGTAGCGGTGGTTGCCGGAGTTCATGGTGCGCCACGATTAACTGAACAACCAGAGTTTGAGGAAACATCTTGACCAAGACATTTGGTCGAACACCTTTTGGGCATCACGAAACTATTAAATCTTCTTGACAAATTCCATGACTTGCATCCTTGTTAAGCCGTGAATGGAAAGAAGATGTTGAAATGGGCTTCTCATGAGATTAGTCTGGTGAATGCTAGCATGAATTTCATTTTTCCTCTTGACCTCTCTTATGGAATGAGCATAGTTTTCCCTGAAAAAATGTCAATATCCCCAGTATGCTTTCTTCTTTCCTCAGACGAATTGTTTATTTGATTGGAAAATAAATTATTCTTCAAGTGGCTGGTTACTTCTTGCTCCCTTCTTGTGCATTTGGCTGATTTAATTTCTTGTCCAATGTTCCACTTTTGATGCCAGAGTCATAATGGGTTCCTCTTCTTCCATTTGAATTTGTTGGCAGATGGTGTTGGAATAATAAGAGAAAATCCCACTGGTTCGGTCCTCACTCTTCTTCTTTCAATCTCCTTGTAGCCGGTTTAGTTTTTAATTTGGGGTTAAGTCCAAAAAATGGGTGAAGATGGCCGAACACAAGGAGATAAGCAAAGCCTCCTTCTTTTACAAATTATGCTTATTGAAATCATCTACCTTATCTTGACTGTTGTTGCCTTTGAACAAACTTTGGATTCCTATAGCATTTTTCTTTCATTTTTTGGTGGCTAGCTTTGCTGTTGTGATCGAACAAACCGCCCAGAAATAATAATCTTTTTAGGTGACTTTTTGGTACATGGTAAAACATGGTTAACGTACCGTTTTCCACAGACCGTGTCAATCTGTTGATCTCAAAAAATGGTCGAACATAATCTCTGCAATGTTCCCTCCACGTGGATACCACCTGTACACTGAACACCCCATTAGGAGGCAAAAGGTCGCCGACCGAAAAAAATGTCCGACGACCGTTTGCACTCCAATGGTCAAGTCAACTGCCGGACGAGGAAAAATAAGTGCAAGAGACGAGAGAGGAAATTTGGATAGGGTTAGAAATTATACCTTAATTGAAATGGATCACACATATATATAGAGAAAAAAATGGGCCGGCGGATAATGGGCCTTGTAAGATGGGCTAAGTCCAAGTCCAAGCCCAATATGATAATTTATGGTGTAACAGTTTTCAAATATGAAATTTTCTTTGTTAGTTGATGTATTTTTAATGACGGAAGAGAGTCCAACGGGGATACAATTAACCATGTGCACATCTCTAATCAGCCTACCTTTCATCACCACCATAAGATAACATGCTAACATTACCTTTAAAAAAATGCACAGGCAAAAGACTAGTAAGTGTACAATTGGTATTTATCATGATAGAAGATACCTAATACTGGGGTAAGGTGATATTATTTTTTGAGGATTAAAATCACCAATGATCATTCAACTTCAATTTTTTATCATATTGGTCATCCAATTTGATTTTATTTCGCTATGACCATCCAAGTTCATACTTAGTGTAATATTGATCACCCAATTTGATTTTGTTTCATCATAACCATCCATTTTCATATTTAGTTTCAGTCAACTTTATTTAACATAATCAAATTGGGTAGCTAATGTGACACTAAATATGAAATTTGGTGGCCACTAGGGGTGGGTAAAAAAATTGAAAAATCGATTAAATCGAATTGGGTTAGTTTGAATTGGTTTGAACCAAAAAATTGGTTTGGTTCGATTAATTTTAACCATTAAAAAATCGAGTTGGATTGGTTGCGGTTTAAGCAACCAAACTGACAATTAATCGATCCAACTAGCTAATAAATTTTTTTTTTTTTCATATTTTTAGACTTAAAATAAATTAATAAAAACATAAATCATGATTCTTTCTCAAATAATTTGTTTACCGTTTACAATTTTTGTACAAAAATTCTAAATTTCAAAAGAAAAAAAAGGAGAAGAATTGTTTATTGTGAACTTTAAATTTAGATCGTAACGTTGTTTTTTTTTTTTTAATTTTGATGTAATTGCTTATTGGTTACTATCGGCTAGATAGGATTATTTTAGAAAAATCGATCATTTACCATTTACATTATATATATTATAAATAAGTACTACGCAAGCAAAATAAAATACACACGTACACACGCAGAGCAAACAAATTTCTTAACTAAAAATAGGTAGGCAAAACTTTTTAACTCGACAAATATTCAAACCGAATAGCCAGTTTGGTTTTGTCCAGTTTGAGTCGGTTTGTGTTTGGTTGCAATTTACCAAAATCGACCAAGTTGATTTCAGTTTCGGACTGAACTCAAAATCAATCCAACACAAATCATGTCCATATCTAATGGTCATGGTAAAACAAAATAAAATTGGGTGGTCAATATAACGTTAAGTATGAAGTTTACCCTATTTTTTTTGACCCAGGCTTCATGTTTGGGAGATGTGAAAACAATATACCATGTTTGTGTTGTAGCATAGGATTAGGAGGTATATTTTTGTAACCATCGCCAAAATTATACGGCATTACCTTAACTTTTTACCTCTCTAAATAGTAAATACTCGTATCTATGATCCTACAGCTGGAAACCCCATGCTATAGTGGTTAAATTTATGAATGCCTTCTCACCAAGCCGATGTCAAGATAAGAAGAGTTAAGAGCATCCATCTCCTATGCTTTCGTGGATTGCTAAAATAAATGTGCCACATGGATGAAAATATATGATGTTTAAAAAATTATTTTTCAATGCAATCTGACGAGCTTTGCAATATAAATTAGCTAGAGTTTGGTCTAAATTCATAAACTGAATCCTTTCCAAATTTATATTTCATGTCCAATTTTGGATTTTTTTTAAAGAAAAATTAAGAAAATTAAAAAGCACAAAGACACAATTTTTTGTTATAGTTGAAACTCGTTGAAGACCAGATTTGAATTTGAATGTTTATTCACTAGACATCAATATCATATTAAGGGGTGTCTGGTTGGGATTTTCAGCCAGACACAATTGATTTGTGGACTGTTTTTTTGTTACCTTTTCTCACAGACGTTCAGCCGCAATCTTGGAAATGTGACCGTTGCTGGGCTTCAACGGTAATAAAAGCAATTTTAAGTTGAAATTAATTGCTGATAGACATGGGCTAAATAAAAAAATCTTTCAATTTACCCGTCACTTAAATAGCAATCCCATTTGAGATGCTTTTAAAGAATTGATCAATCGACTAGTGATCAAAATTAATTGATTTTATTATGTAAATGAGTTATTGAAAAATGAGTATGTAAAAAAAGAGTTCTGACAAGAGACAAACATGTGCTTACTATTATACAACCAT